AACGCTGGATGGCTTGGTTTTTGGTTTGGGCGAACACCAAGTGTTTTTAATGATTTACACATGTTTGAAAAACATTTTTATGATGTGATAAATGCAATAAAATATTTTAGCCTAAAGAGCCAAGGTGTAAAGATTGGGTCGGTCTTGATCACAATAAAGACCGACTCAACGATGCTAAGTCTAAGGTCTTCGTTCTTGGTCTCTTTTAGCTCTTGTTCTCTTGCTTTCTTCTTATATTTATTTCTTGCCTTGTATATTCAACAACTTGTCTCGTTCACGGCGGTTTGACATTATCAAGACCTGTCATAAAAACAAACACGGCTTTAGTACGAAAACACGATAAACCCGTGTTTCAACAGTTTCTGACATAGTTTTATCTAAGCCCGAACCGGGTGAAACTTTGTATTTATAATTGGGCATATCCCAAGACGTTGTATGTTCTGTTTTGATCAGGAATGTAGATGGCCAGAGGCCTATTTACTATGTAAGCAAAGCACTTAATGAGATTGAGAGCCGGTACACGCCAATCGAGAAGACAGCATATGCACTTTTCATTACGGCTAAAAAGCTAACTGCCTACTTCCATGCCCATGCGGTGGAAGTACTAACTTACCAGCCACTCGGACCGTTCCTTCGCAGTTCCACATCCTCGGGGAGGATGATAAAGTGGGCAATGATGCTCGCCCAGTTCAATATCGATTACAAACCCTGAATTACGATCAAGGGTCAAGCCCTAGCTGACTTCCTGGTTGAACTGACCGGTCTTGAACTTGAAGCAGGACCATCCTAAAGGTCGAATCATGGTGAGACATGGCCGAGGATGGAGCTTGCGGGCCGAAGGGTTGTGGGGCTGGAATTGTTTTCACTACCCCTGAATGATTCAAGGTATACCATGCGTTGTTTTCAACTTTAAACTCACTAACAATGAGGCGGAGTACGAAGCCCTTGCTGGCGGACTCAGGTTGGCCTGGGCACTCGGTGTCAAAAGGATGAGGATCCCGTCAGATTCAAGCTTGGTCATTGGGCAAGTTAACGGGGAGATGTAGGTCGAAGAGGAACGACTTGCCTGGTACAGCGACTTGATACGAGCTCTTCTAAGGGAAATCGAGGGGTTCCCTTTGACCCGGATCCCCGGTCAGAAAATACTGATGTTGACATGCTCTCCAAATTGATGCAATCTTGCATGGAGCATGTATCGAAGTTGGCAAAAATTAAGGTTCTGGATCAACCAAGTGTTAAGCGACTGGACATAGCGGTAATCTAGAAGGACTGACTCGAACCGGTCGGAGTGATCAATGCTGACAAGTGCTGGAGGACAGACCTCATGGAATATTTGATGACCTGCAAAATCTGGACGATGATGAACGGGCGAGGAAAGTAGTGTTGCGAGCTCCCCGGTTCCAAGTTCTTGACAGTCATCTGTACAAGCGCGCTTTCGAAGGACCTTTGCTGCAATACCTTACCAACTCGGAGGCCGTGCAGGTGATAGCGGAGGTTCACGAGGATGTTTGTGCCGCCCACCTGATGTCCAGGACTCTAGCTCAAAGAATAATTTTACTCAGTTATTATTGGCCAACCATTGTCCAAAACTATGAGAGGTATGTACAAAGGTGTAGGATATGCCAGGTTTTTTTACAAGTACTCGGGTCGGTCAGCCACGTACTACCAATCGACTTCTAAAGTTATACCTTTCGCCCTATTTGTAATAGACATCATCGGAGCATTCCTTGTAACGCAAGGTGGTAAAAAATTCGTTCTGGTAGCCATAGATTATTTAACTAAGTGGATATATATATATATATATATATATATATATATATATATATATATATATATATATATATATATATATATATTCCGGTGAGAATGAGATCTTATGAAAGAAATAAGAATGATTGTGAGCCCTTGGATGGAGGCCTTTTGATCCGCATCACATAGGGGCATATGTGTATTTTCTTATTTTTCCCATTTAAGCTCCGCAAAATCAGCGCCGCAGGAAACCACATCTCTCTCCATTAAGGATTATTATTACAGTACATAATCCCCAAATCAAGATTTTCATCTCCTTTTAGATCTCATATCTATTATTTCACAGCTTCAATTCTTTAGTGGAATGTTCCTGATGGAAGTGACTGAGCAGGCGGCAGAGATAAAAATTGCATCATTCCACCGAAAACAAACAACCATTTGTATCGGACGGCGGGGGCAATCGAGAGACTTCTCTGTTTGCCTTCCACGCCTACATGACTACATGTCTAATTCTTTCATAAAACTTCTTTCTTCTTTATTTGGTTTTACAATATTTATTTAATTAATAAAATAAAATTTTTTGATAAGTTTGCCTTGTTCTGCGTATGCTCAACAAATTTCTTCCGTTGTCACTGTTTCTAGAGACTTTTTTTTAGATGGATTTTTATTTGCTTTAAATGAGACTTCATGCCTGCCAATTTTATATTGTAAATACTTTCTACTCCATTTTACTTTTCAAAGAGGAGCAACTTAATATGATTGGTTTTTTATATAATTTTTATCCCATATGTTTTGTTCTGGTTTAATCAAAAGAAAAAAAAATTTTGTATTGGTATTTTTTTTACTCCCTTCGTCCCGTAAAAAAAAGTTCCCATTTTGAATAGTATTTAGTCAAATATTTACACGCTTTAACTACAAATTGTGAGAAAAGTATATTGAATTATAAAATAAATTTAATATAATTGGTTTCATCTTAGGATCTAGTTTTGATATCTCAAATTTTTTTAGTATTTCTTTATTTAGATTATATTTAATTTATGGTCAAAGCGTGTAATTATTTGATCAAAAATACATCCAAATGGGAACTTTTTTTTGGGATGAAGGGAATATTAAATTTGCATATGCAATACATTGTGTTGTTTTTCTTTTATATGTATCTTTATGTATGACAGAGACCACATTCTTATCCTTTTGTGAAGCATTTATGGGAGTAGATTATGTTAACTTTGTATTCTTGCTAGCTTATATTATGTTAATATGGGGCCGATTCAGATGAGAATGCACCTTGGTGAAAGAAAAAAGAATAAAATCTAACCTTTGGATCTGATGCATCATTCGGCTCAGATTGCATCCTGCACTCATATTTTGAGATAGTGCATTTTCAAAAGATTTTGGTGCATTTCGACATGATGTCATTATCAAACTATTTTGGTGCACCTAATTTTAATGCAATCTTGACCCTTAAATCTCACAATGTAAAGCACCAGATTCATTTTTATTTCTTTCATAAGATCGCATTCTCACCAGAACCAAAATCATGTTAATATGACCTTTCTTGGCAATGATTACTGTGAATACATACTTATCTTTTTTGACTATTAAGATCACTATACTCCCATGTTGCATTCTTTTCTTTTGATGTTGCTTATTATTGTTCATGTGTTGGAATAACAATTTTTTGATATTGTACAATATCATAATCACTGTACTGTAATGCATCTACATGAGAAGGTAATGCATTCTCATACTCTAAAGTAAAAGATAATGCATTCCTTTAATCAAAGATAATGCATTGATGATAAAATACTCATTGCACAAATATGATGCACCTGTATATTTTGTATAGTGAATTTCCTACAAATGATAATGCATTAAATTTTTTTGTGACACATTTTGAATGTGTTAGAAAGACATTTGAGGATAAAAATTTTAAGAGATTAAAATGTGTTTTAATACGTCCAAGTGAAAGGGGAGAGTCTCTTTGAAAAAACAAGTCGTTGTCTATTAGCTCAAATGGTAGAGCAGTATGTACTACAGATGTGAGTTCAAGTCTCGCATAGGCAAATTATTTTTCAATATTGTATTATACTTGTTATAAATACAATGCATTTTAAGTTGTTTCATCACATATAAAGTCACTTACGAGTCATCTACTCCAATCTAATAAGAAATTAAATATTATTTTAATTAAATCTAGAGGACAAATGATAGTGCATATACCGATCATCACAATGCATGCACAATTTACAAAACGTATTGCATCTATATATGAGAATGATGCATAAAACAAAAAAACTATCACACGAGAAAAACTTCCTTGATTCCCTTTAAATAACTAAAATCATTGTCAAGTGCACAACAATTGTGTGACTAATCATTAAAAAATGTGAAAGAAAGTGATGAAAAATAAAAAATGGGAATAATAGTATTTAAAAAAGGGGAAAAAATTGTAAACCACATACTATTTGTTTTAAAAAATGAAAATAAACAAATCTCAACCACGAGAAATGCATTATCATTAAGAAAAAAGAAATAAAATATTACAAAAAGTTTAATAGTAAAAATTATTCATTAATGATTTATATAGAAGAAAAATGGTTTACAAATTTAAAAAAGAGAAAAAAGCATTAATACTCTATATGACATTTTTTGCGTAATAATGAGGTGCATGATTTAAAAAAGAAAGAATTAATACGATAACTCTTAATACTCCTATAATAACGGCACAATATGTGGAACTTATGGCCCACGATCCTTTAGTGCCTATCAAATTTACACTAATGTCCCTATGCGCACGTTTCACTCCTAAATTGATGGTCATGAATTATTTTTTATCATACTAACTAGTCAATGGCGCCACTTTTTAGATCTGATGTAGACCCTTAGATTTGTAATATCAATGGTTATTATTTATTCACATTTCTCTCTACAAGACTCATTCTCACGGGAACCAACACCAACCCCTATATATATATATATATATATATATATATAGATTTTGGTTCAAGTGAGAATGCAATCTAATGAAAGAAATAAGAATGAATCTAGTGCATTAGATTAGGAGATCTAAGAGTTAGGATTGCATCAAAATTAGGTGCACTAAGATGGTTTGAAAATGCATCATGTCGAGATGCACCATAATCCTTTAAAAATGCACTATCTCGAAATTTGAGTGCTGAATGCAATCTGAGCCGCACGATGCATCAGATCCAAAGGCTAGATTTTATTCTTATTTCTTTCACCAAGGTGCATTCTCACTTGAACCAGCCCCTATATATATATATATATATATATATATATATATATATATATATATATATATATATATATATATATATATATATATATATATATATATATATATATATATATATATATATATATATATATATATATATATATATATAT